AAATTTGCAGATGACACCAAGCTAGGTGCGAGTGTTGAATATACAGAGGGACCTGGACAGACTGGATCGATGGGCTGAGACCAACAGCAGAAGGTTCAACAAGAACAAGTGCCAGGTCCTGCACTTTGGCCACAAAAACCCCATGCAGCGTTACAGACTGGGGGAAGAGTGGTTAGAAAGTGGTCAAGCAGAAAAAGACCTGGGGGTGTTGGTTGACAGCCAGCTGGACATGAGCCAGCACTGTGCCCAGGTAGCCAAGAAGGCCAACGGCATCCTAGCTTGTGTCAGCAATGGTGTGGCCAGCAGGACCAGGGCAGTGATCGTCCCCCTGTACTCAGCACTGGTGAGGCCGCACCTCGAGTGCTGTGTTCAGTTCTGGGCCCTGCACTTCAAGGAAGACCTTGAGGTGCTGGAGCGAGTCCAGAGAAGGGCAATGAAGCTGGTGAAGGGTCTGGAGCACAAGTCTGATGGGGAGCGGCTGAGGGAGCTGAGGGTGTTTAGCCTGGAGAAGAGGAGGCTGAGGGGAGACCTGATCGCTCTCTACAACCACCTGAAAGGAGGGGGTAGCCAGGTGGGGGTCGGTCTCTTCTCCCAAGCGACTAGTGACAGGACAAGAGGGCATCATCTGAAACTGTGCCAGGGGAAATTCAGGCTAGAAATGAGGAGGCATTTCTTCACCAAAAGGGTCGTTAGGCATTGGGATGGGCTGCCCAGGGCACCTCTTAAACATCCCTGGAGGTGTTTAAGAAAAGACTGGATGTGGCAGTTGGTACCATGGTCTAGTTGACATGGTGGTGTTAGGGCAAAGGTTGGACTCTGATCCCAGAGGTCTCTTCCAACCAAATCAATTCTGTGATTCTATGTGTTTACCTTTTAATAGATTTTCTGTTACATTTAGTACTTACCTTGGACTACTTTGCCTATGAGAGATGCAGTATGGCAGTGGTCTAAATGACATAGCTGTGTAGCCAAGCAAGTAGGAATACAGAAGCCTGAATCTGAATATGAGCTGTTTCTGAGTGTATTACCATATGAACAGTGTGTTTTTGCAAATGTTCACCTGGGCTATACAGTTGAATCCATTGTATTATTAATGTCTACTGAAGATCACTGTATCTTTTGAGCAGAGCTGTGGGAACTAGATTTTTAATTTCATTTCTGACTTTTTATGTGACTTTTCACTTGTATTCAAAATTAGTAGTGTGTATTTCAGAGATGCTGTGAGACTTAAATTCCATGTTTGTGCAATACTTTATTTTCCTTCAGTAAGAGGTGCTATAAGTGCAATTACTTGTGCCATATGTACTTCATATTAGTTTGTGACACAACCTGGTTTTTTTACTTTGTTTTGTTTCTTACTATTGCAGGATTACTTTCTTTTATTTTTTTCCCCTCAAGTTCAAATGCTGTTTGGTGTATTTTATGCCATCTTTTGGATGCCTGCTGGGTCAGCGAGAAGCAGCTAAAGTATTAATATTTGTCTCAGTAGCATGTAGTACCAAATGTAAACAGTGCAATCTTCTCTTGCCTTTTAATATTTGAGCTGATCAGAACTGAACTGATAACAAGTCTTTGTTCAGATTACTGTTAATATAAACTTCATTGAACTGTATTAGTAGCTGGATTGTTTCAGTTTTAAGCTGTGGATGATTTTTCTCTAGGTAAGTAAAATTCTCAAGTCATTCTTAATATTTGTAGAATGATATAGATGCAAGCAAACCTGCCCCAGTACTGAATACATCTAAGCAGGATGGACCGATGCCAAAACCACATAGTGTTTCACTTAATGATACTGAAACAAGGAAGCTAGTGGAGGAGTGCAAAAGACTTCAAGCAGAGATTATGAAGCTGACAGATGAAAATCGGCACCTGAGAGTAAGTTCTACTTCCATGTTTGTATTGAAGTTTCTTTGCTCTTCTTGATTGAAAGGTCTGGTTTGTAATTAGGCCAGTAGATGTGTATTCTGGAAAGTAGATACAACTGTTAGAATGTAAAGATTGATTTGTAGTACGATATTTACTGTCCTGTATATACTGTATATTTTGAACTTCTCAGTGACTGAGACTTTGTGATTGTCTTGGATGAGATACTGAAACTACGTAATTTTCTTCTTACATGAAATGGTCCTATTTAAGGTGGTCTTAGTTACTTTAAGTCTAAATCAGAGATACTGAATTCGTAGCTTTTATTAAAAGTGTATTATTATTCATTAAGAATGAGTAGATGAGATCTGAAGTTGGTAACGTTCTGTATCACAAATTGTTAGCTAACAAGAGCAATTGTTTGGCCAGAGGAGGTAAGCGAACACTGCTTTCCAGTACCTTTATGTAAAGGTGCCATTTCAGTAACCTGTAACTAGTCAATACGTGACTTTATGTGACTTTTCTATATATTTGCTTTTGGGTATCTGACAATTTTGTTGGCTATGGTAGCCTTTTAAAGAACTGTGAAATAACAGTGTCTCCACACCTGTAATACCTGATGGCATTGAAACATTCGGAGAAACACTACACAAAGCAGATGTTTCCCCTTAATAACAAGGAATTACTGCTATTTAATTCTGACACATCGTAAGTAAAATCAGGATTCTTCGTTGTGCCTAGCAAGAATTTCAGAATCTTTCTTAACTATTGCACAGGGAGACACTAGTGGATTACCTGTCCTTATTTGAAATATTATGGTTTGCTGTGTTCATATTTTGGATTTTGGTGTGGTGTAATGTTGTTGGGGTTTTTTATTTATTTTTTTAACTTTATTTAAATGTTCACTAGTAAATTTGGCCTTTGAGTTCAGTTTTTACAATTGTAAAGAAGATATGTTAATAAATTTTTTTTCATCTGTATGTTTTTTCTGCTTCAGGATGAAGGCTTGAGGCTCAGAAAGGTAGCGCACTCGGATAAATCTGGATCACCCACAGCTTTGGCCCTCAGAGATAATGGCTCTAATTCTCTTCCTTCACTTCTTGTTGTAATTGCAGCCATTTTCATTGGATTCTTTCTAGGGAAGTTCATCTTGTAGAAAGAATGAGTGAGAGAAGCATGCAAAATGCAGCTTCCTTTTTTTTTTTTTTCTTGGCCAGAAAAAGATTTGTTTACCTACCACTTCATTGGTAGTATGGCCCATGTGGCCATTTTTGTGTACAGCATCATAACAGGCTTTGCCTTTAATGATCTCGCACAGTTAGAAAACACAATCTGAAAAGACAAACTGTTCGGCTACTGGACAAAATTGTACATTAAGTCATCAATAGCAGGTGTCAGTTGCACAGTCAGTCCTTTATGAAAATTCATAAATAAAGAATTGTTCTTTCTTTCTGTGGTTTTAATAAGAATTCAAAAATTGTTCAGAGTCTTGTAAATGTTATTTTAATAATCCTTTAAAATTTTATCTGTTGCTGTTACCTCTTGAAAAATGATTTATTAGATTGCTAATCCCACTCATTCAGGAATATGACAAGAGGTGTTCTGGGGGAAATGGTGCCTCTTACTGTGTAAATTTTCTCCTTACCTTACTTTGCTAATATCATGGCAGAATTTCTTTCTTATTCCTTGTGAGGCATTGTTGAGAGTTCTTCATCCTTACAATCCTGTCCCATAATATTTAACATTACAAAAGAAATAAAATTGTTAACAGATTTTGCTGCTGGGTAGCCTGTTTGTGTGTGTCGTACTGTTAGAAGGGATTCCTAACAAGTTCATTGTTCATGGTAATTTGCTACTTGTAACAAATGGCTATTTTGAAGTTTATTTGCTTAAGTCTCTGGCTTAGACTGTTGTAACTGAAGCTTGGGGAGGCGGAAGGTTTCCATGTGTTTTAAAAAATGGAACTGTTTTCTTGCTGCTTTCAGCTACAGAGAGGATGGTTATCAAACTTGTTTGGGGACAGAATAATTTGGATATCCTGCAGATACAAATACCAGACATGAATGTTTTCAGTATATTAACAATTTGCTTGGATTGTGCAGGAGTGTAACAATCAACCTTCTGTTCCATCTTTGGATGTTCTGGGTGTCTTCCAGGAGTCAACATTATTCTTTGATTTCATAACGATACTTTATTCACTTACACTAACTTACTTGGTTTGTAATTCTGTTTTAGCAGATTCAAAATTGCAATTTGAATCATTCAGACACTCATAGTGAATTCCATGATGCAGAAGAGTTGATATTTGCTGAGTGAGCCTCAGTTGCTCACCTTTTGAAAATAATTTTTATGCAACTCTTGGCAGATCTACCTGTGTTAACCATGTATAGCTAAGTTTTAAAGAATGCATTTTTTGGGGGGTCTGAAATGCTTCCCTGCACTTAATCTTATGTCTTGCCTCATCTCTGAATATGTCATAAAAGCAAACAGTAGTATTGGAACAAATTAGTATCTGTACTTCTGACTAAGCATAATCCAATACAGGTAATTACTTGTAAACTGAAAAACTGTGGAAAGGATATACTCCTGTAAGCAAAATTGTGTGTACTCTTGGTCAGCTTGACTTGATGTGGTGCAGCTAAGTGTGGTAGACCTTGGTATATGCACACCTTATGTAGCTGAGAAAAATCTTCTGGAGAAGATGTACGTTATCTCGGTTGCCTTTGATTTCTAGTGCTTTTTTTAAAAAAAGAAAACTATAATTACATCATATTCTGTCATTGCTCTCTGTGATAAAATTTTTTTATAAAATCTTGCATATGTGCGAGGAAGATGATGAAGAAAATGCAAATACTGCTTATCTTTTCACTTAAGCATGCAAGCACAGATGTTTCCAATTACTTGTTCCAGTGTGTGCATTCAAGTCTCCTTCCATCCCAGTGACTGGAAAAACTATGTTAAGGTCTGGATTATTTTGGTTCCACTGGTTCAGAATGGTGTAATTCCTCTGATTTTTTTTTTTTTTTTTTCCTTTAGCAGAACGTTGCCACATCAAACTTTCATAGCCTGTTCCAAACTGATTACGTGGAAAATAACACAAGCAATAGGTGCAGGATGAGTTTGTGTCAGAGCAATCATTCCTGCGTTGAAGGGAAAAAAGAAGAAGGAAAAAAAAATATCTGGAAGATCTTAAAATGTTGATAGCATAGTGTATGGAGGTTTTCAAGAGTAGCTAGCACTTTCAGGACTTGAGAGCAGAAAAAGGAGTTATTGCTCAATGCAGCTGACTCAGGTTTTGATGCCTGGCAGCAGAAATAAGGTAAAAATAATGATATAATCAGATGGAAATAACTTTTTTCATAAATAACAAACAGGTGGTAGTAAAACTTGGTCATGGTTTAAGTAATGTCTTCAAAGTGAAAGTGTGCAGCGGTCTCATGACCAGTGTACTTACTAATGGTATAAGGAGACTGTCTTGGTTTCCAGTAATCCCTTCATAGCTGTATATAAAATGTAATGCTAAAACTGTTTTGCTCTCAGGAGTCACTTTGGATGAGATCAACTGTATTCAGTGAATTATGTAATATGGATTAAATTGTTTGTCTTTGTTCCTGAAATGGTTAGAACTTCTTGCTTTGTCTGCCTGCTTACTTGTGTATGTAAGCACGGGGAAATACTGTCCCTCCACCGCTCCTAGCAATATGATCAGACAATGATGCCCTAAAGTCATGTGAGGCTAAATGTGTAACTTCAGTTGAATATGCACTGCAGGTTGCCCTTCTGATTTCTCAAAAGGGCAAGATAGAACAAGTATGCAGTATCAAAGTAGTATTTTAAAGTTTTTATGAATATAGCACTTTAAAAAAGGGTAGTATGATGCTTCGGGGGGTGAGGGGGAAGCCTAGTTAAATAGAAGATACAGCTTCTGTAGTAATTCTGGGCACCAAATTTAACTCATTAAAAAAAAATTAAGTTCATTTAAGAAAAAGTTATTTGTATCAACGCACAAGTTATTTGTGCTTTTCTACGCATTCTCTACGAGCTGTTGACAAACAGTGGCACAGGCTTGCATGTTTGTGCTGCTGTGATTGAAGCCAATTTACATAGAACCAACAACCAAACACTGGCTTGAAACTTCATCATCCTCTTGGGAGGAGGGAGGGCAGAGGTTTTGCCAAAGGGGAAAAGACAAAGTCAATAAGCAACACTTACCTTTCAGGCCTTCTTCAAAGATATTAAAAGTTGAAGTGTTAATAAACCATTAAAAATGTAGTAGTGTCCTTTTTATTGTGGAACTTCTCCCTGAGTGTGTACGTTCTGTAGCCTGCTGGTACCAAACGGGTGTCTCTAGTTTGCCTCACAGGTGGTGGAAGGGCCTGCTTCTGGGTGCTGCTAGGAAATAGGATGAAGCTGCCTTGGATGAAGATTCAGTGTTGGAGTGAAGAGCAGATGCCTGAATCCAGGCAACACTGAGGATGCTGATGGTTTGTCAGATTTGTAGGAGTTGTGACAGTTTTCCTGTTTGGAGTCCCTAGGTATTCATGCTTGAACAGACTTGCCAGGGCAAACACTTGCTTCAGCCTGTGGCAAAAGATGGAATGAGAGCTACGTGGTTCCCGAGCAACCCTAATAAACATTTACTGTAACACTGAAATGCCCTGCTCTTCACGTTTGCAGGCGGGATTGAGATTCTGTAGCATGTCTTTTTAGGTACCTTGCTGTGAACAGCACAACTCACGGCTTGGCTTTCTGCCCTGGCTGCTGTAGTGTGGCTGTGCAGGGTGTGCTCTGGAAGGCACGGCTGCCCCGGGCTCCCTCTTTGCTGGGGCAGCCTTGGTCTGCTGGCACACTGCAAGGTTGGAGCTGAATACAGGGGCTGGGTTTGACACGGGTTTGAGCTCCTGTAGGAAGGACTGAAACTAATGGCGATTGAGAGAGACCCATTTCTTTATTTCCTGTCTGAATTTAAATAATGTAACCAAGTATGTGATCGAGGTTGGTCTGTTGTGTTTTTCTTTTTGAATACAGGTTGTGTATGTTTAAGAATAACTGCAGATTCTGACAGGGGTGTATAATCAGAGGTAATGATGGTGTTCTCACCCTTATTTATTTGCTCTTTAAGTGACAAATGGCTATGTAGAAATGAGGTCTTGTGCAAAAGCAAAACAGTTGATTCTTTGTCTGGCTTTCTCATTTTTTCTAGATGGCAAGGTTGGTGCTGGGACAAGGGTTTATGTGTTTGCATGGTGAACTGGATCTGGAAATTGCTTTGGATGAAATCTGTTGTTTCCTCCCCTACAAATTACATTTTAACTAAATTGTGGTATGAGCATCTCTCACCATATTACAGTGCCATTTCATTTAAAGCCTGGTACCAGTTTAGGTAATGTTCATGGCGCTGCTGGCAGGGTATGGAATCCCTCTTTGTACAGTGGCTGCTTCTGTTGGTGGCAGTGGTGGAATGCTGCTTTTCCCCTCCCTCCTCTTTAGAAAAGATGTAACGGGTGTTGTGGTATCCAGGTACAGAGGCATGAGACAGACAGCTGTTGCTATAGCTAAGCGGTCTGAGCTCAGACACTTGAAATAAATTAAAAATTAATTGAAAGGTGATCGAAATAGTTATTCTTACCTTTTAAACTTGTGTATAAGAAAAAAAGCATTGTGAGTTGTTTTGTTTTAAAGTTAGTCTGCTTATCATCCAATTTTGGGGGTGGGGGGGGAATTGTAGTAGTCTGGGAATAATTATTTCAGGATGTTCTTGAAAGTTTTTACTAATGCTGGAGCAGGTTCATGTGCGTAAGTGAATTCAGAGAGATTGTCACTAGTAATCAGTGTCTGGGCTGTCTTGGAGTGGGTAGGAATTAAATGGCAATCTTTGAGTGTCTCAGTCTGCCTTGTAAGGATAGCTTGTCATGCCTTTAGAGATGGGGAAACTGAGGCACGAGTGTTGGGACAAATGATAGGGAAGGCATGGTTTAGGCCCAGCCCCTGTTCTCCAGTACGCTCTGTCCTGTTGCTTATCAAGGCTTTCTTGAGCCTTGCCCAAGTCTTTTTTTTTCTTTTGGTTGGATTTCCAGAATGCTGCTTTATGTTGCTTGGCAGTCTTTGATAGGCTTTTAAAGCACCGTCCTAAAGACTGAGCTGTTTCCTTGTCTGTTCCTGCAGCCGAGTGTTAAACGGGCAAAACCCATGGCTGTTAAGAGAGGTGTTTAGCAGTGGCTTGTGCTCACGGATTATAATGCCGGGTAGGGGGAAGGGAAAAAAAAAAGATGATGCTAAACATTTGGGCATCTTGTGTTTGTAGTCTTGGAACATAAAAGTGTGTCTGTTTAGCAAAATACTTCTGTGGAGCCAGTGCTGTTTGTACTTTTCAAGGAAAAGAAAACAAACAGTCCTTAATCTGCACAACTACCCTGTTAGTAGTGGTATACGTTGCTCTGCCCATGGGAGTGGCAAAATATTATTTCCATTGCTGCTTTAATAGCACAAATACAGGTGATAGACAGCTATGCTATGATTTTTGGACGCACTTTTTTAAAACGTAAACATGTTTGACTCCTGCAAGCAAAGGTGCTCCAGCAATAGTAGACTCTTACAAAGGTTAAATCCACTGATGTGTTTTCACTCCAGATTAGTAAATGCTTTGCTGTTATTACTGCTTTTCAGACTGCAGTACACTTCTGCACCGGTATGAGGGCTGGTTTGGGGAAAATTAATGAGAATCCAGTAATTATCTTAGTTATACAGATGGTGCTCTGTTTCTTAATGGTTGAGAGGCATTGCTTTAACTCATTACGTAGGACAGTCTAGTTACAGGAGCATGTTTTGGAAAGGCTTAGGAGGAAAGTAAAGAAAACAAAACTTGAACCCTGGGTCAGATAGAGAGCCAGTCCTCTGGAGCTGCCATCGGAGGCACTAAGGGGTGCAG